GCTTCGTTTGTGTTCCTGTTACAGTCACAATAGTGACCCTTCATCTGCTTTTAGGGCAGCAACTCCTCCTACTCCTCATCCTCCTTCTTCTTCAATCCCTTTGAGAGCTTGTTGTGTTTGAGATAATACATGAGCTGCAGAGAGTGAAAGGAAATCCTCTAATTACAAGGTGACAAAGGTAAAATGTAAAGCATTTTTACAACAGCATGAGCCATGCACTCAGAAATAGACCTGGATCTAAAATATAAATAACATTAATACCTAGTCATCTGTCTTTTACAATTTCATGCAGTTAATGAATTAGGCTAAAAGTACTATAATATTTGGTAGCCATCCAGGCCAATATCCTTAATATATCACAAAATACATACTGATACCCCAGAGAAGCAAAACTTGCAAGTAGATGTTTTAAAAATATCTAATCTACAGCTACAAAGTTCTATTCTTACAGCATTTAGCTTTTTGAGGAGTCACCCAGTCTCCAAAGGACAGAAACAGATAGTAGCATCAGTGTAACGTATACACAGAAGTCCATACTATAAAGGCTGTAAAGATTTGCCTTCTTCACACTGCATACAAATTTTGTGAATTATGTTGTATACTTCCTGGTCCACTCTCTTGTTATTCTGTCATGTTCTGCTTGTTGATCAAATACTGAGTAGTTATAGCCTTCCAACCAGAGGATCCAGACTTGCAGTCTGTCAGAAGGGGGCAGATAGACAGCAAAACCTTTGAAGGAGTCAAAGCAAGACTTCAGTTGTCTTTCAGATGCCAAGACAGATGACTTCCTGACTGTTGATGGTGCAAGGAAAGATTTTGGTGCAGAAAGTGGTGGCTTACGTGGGCCATTTGGTGAAAATGTGATATCCAAAAAAGCACACCACCTTCAAGCACAGAACCTAGTGTACCAAGTACAGTTGGTCTCTATTCATAAATGTTATCTCTTTTAGGCCCAGCAGTTAGGAGGACCAAGGGTTATATCAACTAGCTAATGTCCATCTGAATCCTTTTAGTACTTGTGGATTACTTAGCATTTTATTAGACAGTTTGGTGCTTTTCTTCTGCTGGGTAGTAGGTTTTCTTTCTTGTTCTTCAGGCTCTGGAGTGGCTGCGTCTCACTGGTCCACATCCAGTGCTGGTGCCTCTGTGTAGGACCTTGACCTGTCTCTGGACGGCCTGGTGAAGTTAGCACTTACAAAACCCAGCCTCTTGCCTGACCCATTTACAGGCCTCTTTGAGATCCTGAAAGGCGAGGGGTTTTACTTTTTATTTTTACATCCTCTATCACAGTGCCTACCCAACACACACAGAATACTTACTGCATGTTTTTTGAGTGAGTTAAATAATGAATACAACTTATAGTGAGCATTTTGCTGTTATTTCATCACTTTTGTTCTTATTTTAAAGAATTTGTGGTAATAACTGTATGATTTTAGTATATCAAAGGTCAGGATTTTTTCAGAAAAACAATTTGGCTTTAACATTAAGGAGAAAAATTAGACTTTATATATGAAACAATTTTATTTTTAAATATATTTTATAAAATGGAGTAAGTTAGTGATGGCTGACAGAAAATAGTATCAGGCAGATGTGAAAATCTTGACAGTACAGATGAATGTAACATCGCAGCCAGTAGGACAGCAGTTCTTATGACCAAGAATAACATTAATAACTGCCAGGCCCTGAGGGACTCCAGGATATAAGTGTGAAAAGGAGCAGGATTAAATTCTGGAATACTAAATGATGCTGGGAACTGGATTTACCTGCCAGATTTCTTCTGAATTCAGAAGGTAAATCACAAATCCTTTAGGCCCTAGTACAACTGAAGCCATTTGTGAAGAGTTGACGTATGTGATAACTTTTAATGCACAAAGCATGCAAATATTTAATATTTGTAACTAATATCCAGTTGCCTTGTTTTAATTGCTGGGGTGATTTTTAAATCTGATAACTCCTACGCTGTAGGTTGAGTTCAGTGACCTCTGAGCCAAGACCCATCTGCGGTGTCCCTAGTGTTCTGCCATCTCCAACACCACTTCAGCACGTGTACTATGTTTCAGTGACAGAGGCTCTGGTCTGAGAATGCAGTACATGGGGCTTGAATGACCTTTAGATGATCTCATACGCAAACATTCCATGACACTTATGGTCACTGCTTGGATAATAGTCTATTCGCGGTTTCACTGAGGGTAACAAGGAGTTAAGCCAAAGGCTAGGGATATATGAAGTACAATCCAAAAATACAGTGAGTGCTAAAATGTATTACAGCAAAAACGCATTGCCATTAATCCCCCTCAGAATGCTCCCCATCACTTCAGACACACTTATCCCATCAATCTTGCCACTTTGTAAAGCAGTGCTGGAGTCTTTTTTTGAATGTCTTTAGTTGCCCTGCCATAGCTGCCTTGATGTCCTGAATCAATTCAAAATGTTTACCTTTCATGGTCATTTTGACTTTGCAGAAGACCCAGAAGTGCCAGGTCCAGTGAGTAAGGTAGATGAGGACACACTGATGTTTTTAGTTTACAGAAATTACCATAAACATTTTGAATAGATTCAGGACATCGAGGGAACCATGAAAATGCACTCACAAAAGAGAACGAGAACTGTTTCAGAAAGTGGCAAGAATGATGGGATAAGTGTGTTCAAAGGGAATGTTTTAGGGGGATAAGTGGCAATGTGTTTATCACTATAATACATTTTAATTTTTATTTAAACATTCACTATATGTTGTAATCATACCTTGTAGCTCAGAGGTAAGCACTTACCTAGCATGTGGAAGATCCTAGGTTCATCCTCAACATTAAAAAGAGAAATTAAGCCTTGACAGTAATTTGAACTTTATACCTTAACTTTCAGAACTCATCCTATTTTCTGTTGTTTGTATGTTTTTAATAGATTATTTCTTCTATGTTCTTTTTTTTTAACAGTAAGAAAATTTATTGGACAATAGGAATGGGGAATGGGGAATAGGAATTGCTCTTGAGAGACAGGAGGGGTCCTGAATGGGTTGCCCTACTTTCATGTTCTTTTACCCTTTTTTTTTTCTTTCTTTCTTTTGGCAGTCCTGGGAATGGAACCCAGGGGCACTCTAGCACTAAGCTACATTCTCATGTATTTTTATTTTTTAATTTGAGACAGATCTTGCTAAAGACCCAGGCCCAGGTTGGCCTTGAACTTATGATTCTCCTGCCTTATCCTCTAGAATAGCTAGGATCTCAGGTGTGCATCTGCTTTGCCCTTAATATTTTTAGATATAATAAAATTTGTTTATTTCAGCCCTTTTCCTAGATAAAATGAGTCTTTCAGTAATACGCTATTAAAAGTATTAAATATCAAAGAAGTTACCTGTATGAGCCATTGTGCACAGTACTCTTTAATTTTTGTACTATCACAAGTCATGATTGAAACCACTTAATAACAGTGCTTTAATAATATTTCTATGAGGGCCGGGGATATAGCTCAGTGGCACAAGCACCTGCCTGGCAAATGCAAATTCCTGAGTTTGATTCCTGATACCAAAAAAAAAATATTTCTGTGATAAAATTGCTGTGGGACACTTCGTGATCCACTGGCTTTTAGAGGAACTTTTGTTTTTATAAACAGTTTAAATTCACTTCTGTCATGTAGAAAGTTTTTCCCCTTACCCAAAAAGATTTTAAAATTCTTCCTGCTTTATAACTTAGTAATACTAATGATACTTCAAGCTTTCAAATAATTTTTCTAACAATTTGAAGATACAGGCAGACCAAATTTCCATATTCTACTTCCCACTCACATAGGCATCTACATTAGGGCTCTACCTCTCCCCATATGCCTGTTTATTAATTATGTCCCTGTGTAATCAGAAAACATTTTTTCTGAGTGTCTTAAGATAATGATTGTTTAAAAAAAGGATTTGATATTCAGTGCTGCTTAAAAAAATAAAACATGAAGGGGAAAAACAATAGTATCTTGAAAACTTGCTCTGTACCAGCTCCCTTCTCTTTCCTTACCTCCAGCTCACAAGAGGTTGGCTGTCTCCCTTTATTTTCTGCCTTGTTTATACCTCCGGCTCTGTCTTGCCTTTTAGGCTTCTCTCAAATGTGACTATGCCGGAGGCAGGGAGAGCAATGAGGGTAGGGAGTTTGGGCTGTAAGATACAGGCATGCTGGGTAGATTGTTGAGAAAAGAACAAGAGAACAAATGGAATGGAAGCAAGAAACTACTGTTCACTACATCATGCTGTTAAACTCAGAATTAGCATAGTAGGGCTCAACACCCTTTCCTTTAAAACAAAACAACAAACTGAAAAGGCCTAGTTTTTCTCTGATTTCAGTCCCTTAACCTCCTGGCTGCTCAGTAAATGCGTATGGAATTTAAATCCATCTCATTTTATGGGAGAAGAAATGGGCACACACGCCCCCCAAGTTGTGTATCGCCCAGGGCCACTTAGATAGCTAGTTGCAAAGCTTAAGGAACCCAAGTCCTCCAGTTGCTTAATCCATTTCTGTGCCATTAGAAGACATTATCTTTTTTTCAATATTAAGGTTTTTCTAAAGTTCCTGGCAAAGAGTAAATATGACATGTTGAGCTCAGCTATATCATTTCTAAGGCCAGCAGCACTTACTAGATCTGTTAATGAGTGGCAGCGTAGTAGAAAGAATACATATTTTTGGAGTCAGAACTGTATCTAAATTTTAACACTTAAGCAAATCATTCCTTATTTTTGCAAGCCTAGACTTTCATATTTCAATCAATGGGGCCAATAATAGCTACCAGATAGTACTGCTATGACAACTAAGTAGACTAAGCCTAGGAAATACTTGGTTTGCTATATGGCACAAATCAGAGGTTTGAGCAAATATTTGTGAAGTGAATAAATGGTAACTATTGCTGTATTTGATCTCCCTCATAGAGGGTCAACATGCCCTTTAAAAGGTAAGTCAGCTCATTTCTTTTTGTCTTAGAAAATGCCTGCTTTGGATACCTCACATGCTTTTTAATTTTTTAAATTCCAGGTTAATCCATGGAGGACAGATGCTAAATGGATTGGCAGGCCCGACCGTAATGAACGCAGCACCGTTCCTCTCCACAACATGGTTTTCTGCAGATGAACGGGCCACTGCCACTGCAATCGCATCAATGCTCAGTTACCTCGGTGGAGCGTGTGCGTTTTTAGTTGGACCCCTTGTTGTTCCAGCTCCCAACGGGACATCGCCCCTCCTTGCTGCAGAGAGTAACAGGGCTCACATTAAAGATCGCATTGAGACTGTGTTGTATGCAGGTAACTACAAGTTTTAACTCTCCTTGTTATACTTTTTTATCTGTCATCTTACTCTCCTTTTTTATATCAGATCACTTCATGTGAAATAAGGACTGAAGTTTACCCACACAATACTGTGCTTTCCTTGTTATGTAGTATGGTGGAGATGCTTCTTAGAAAGTTACTGAATTTAAAATATGTTCCTGTTACATAATGGGTTATTTCTTAGTGTTACTCCTTTCATCCACTTACAGTGAAGCTCTGTATAACACATATTGTAGTGTCTTCTGTAGACAGCATACCAGTATATAAATTAAACATGATTGATCATAAACATCTGTCAAGAGGGCTGGGGATTTAGCTCAGTGGCACAGCACCTGCCTGGCAAGCACAAGGTCGTGAGTTCGATTCCCAGTACCTGAAGAAAAACATAAACATCTGTCAAATATCTGTTGGTAAGCTTTCAGTCCATTTTTTCCCTTACAGGTTTTCTGTTACTGGCCATGTCTTCTAACCTTATTAACCTTCAACACTTACAGTTTATTCTTCTCTTTATTTCCTGTCTTCTGTATGTTAAAGCTATTAATCAGGGATATTGCCCTTTCCATAGTATTCTCTTGGGCCCTTTTTATTTCTAGAGTCAAGCTCTAGCTCACTCTTATATTACCATATTCTACATATATTAAATACGTCCTCTCTCCTCATGTGCCTGTTGTTTCTTTCTATAGAGTGTTTACTAGATACTACACACTGTGCTAAGCTCTAGGAATCAGTAAAATCAATGCTGAGATGATTACAACACATACAGGAATATATAGAGGTAGGGAGACCTAACATGCTTGGGTTTGGAGAGAAGTTGAAGGGTTAGTGAAGGCTTTGCCAAAAACAGAGTAACAAACAAAGTTAAGACTTTTGTGGGAGTTCACTAAGTGTTCAGGTGGGTTAGGATCTTCCCGAGGGAGCAGCCACTACAGAGGCATGGAGGGTGTGAGAGAACACAGTATGTCCCAGACTTTGCCCATAGTTTGACAGTTGAAGCAGTATGTGTTTGGGTGTCAGTACCAAATGGAGAAGATAAAGCTAGAAAGATAAGGGACCAGATTATGCTGAACTTCATCTTATTTATTCATTTTTAATTTAACAAACTTTCTGTTTGTTTTTTGAAACAGGGTCTTGCTATGTGGTTCAGGTTTCTTGAACTCACTCTGCAGCCTAGACTTGTCTTAAACTCCAGGCAGTTGTTCTGCCTCATCCTCTCGAGTGCTGAGATTATAGTTGTGCACTACTGTGTCTGACATGGGCCCTTGTATGCCTGTGACTGTGCTGACACTAAGGTGGTTCTTGCTCTGAAGGATGAAGACAGGAAAGTACAGTTGTAGAACAGAGGGATGGGTGCTAACAGAAAGCCTGCAGTTGCCCTGGAAGCTCCAAGGAAGATCACCAAATGCAGATTTTGATGGTGAAGTACAGATTCCCAGAGGTGCAACGTCAAGAGGAGTAGAGAGAGGTAGCCAAACACAGTGGGGAGAAGGAAGACTGAAAAGGGAGAGACAGCTTTGGAGAAGCAGCCCAGGAAAGAGGGAACTGAAAAGTCCAGAATGGCTTAGATCTCATGAGAGTAGAGATGGGGGAGACAGAGAGAGAAGCCAGGGCTTGCAGTTCCTCTAAACAGGGCTAAAGGGTGTGCAGTTCAGCTTTGGTAGGCAGATATCACACTTTGAAGTTTGTCAGAGTAACATGAGATTTACATTTTAAAATATGCTTTAGGGAGAATAAAATTGAAAACAGGAGCAGTAGCAGTAGATAAAGCATTTAACCGTTTGTAGGTATTTATTAGTCAGCTTTTTGTTGCTTGGACCTACTACCTAACAACTTCAAGAGGGAAAGGTTTAATTCAGCGCTCTGCTTCAGAGGGTTCAGTCATGGCTGGCTTCAAGACAGGAGTGTCATGGCAGAAGGGAGTGGTGAAGTAAAACTGCTAACTTCATGGTACCAGAAAGTAGTGCACATGAAAAAGGCACAAGAGAGACACACCCAGAAATATGCCTTACTAATCTCCAGGCAGCTGCCAGGCTGACCCAGTTGACAATTAAGATTAACGATCACAAGTGTATACAACTCATCCCTTTTTAAAATATAAAGTTTTATGTTGCAATATAAAAATAAATAAATAGAAATAAAATCAGGTGAAACTTAAGTTTTAAATTATATTTTGGTAATATCTTTCATTTACTTGAAAACCTAAGCAGTGATCCTGTCTTTTAAATGATCAGGTTTTAGGCATGAGGAGGCACACATTAATGCTCTGTGTCTCTCTGGCTTATCCTCCCATCGGGTCAAGCAGAGCACTTGGTCACCAGTTCCTAGTTACTTGGGTGCTTCCATGCTGAAACCGTGAACGAGTCTACCAGTCTGTCTTTCTGAAACACTGTCCTGTAATTCTTTAGTCCATTAAAAGTACTTTTGCTAGAATTGTTGCCTTAATAGATTAAAGACTCTTAAATTATTCCACACAATGGTACTTTATGAAAAGTAAAACTACAGACCAATATCTCTCATGAATATAGACACAAAATTCATCAACAAAACACTAGCAAACCAAAGCCAGAAATATATAGCAAGGATGATATTCCATGACCAAGTACAGTTCATTCTAGGAATGCAAGATTGGTTTGACCCTCAAAACTCAATTATAGAATAAAGAGAGAAAACAGGTGATCCTATCAAGAGACAAAGAAAAAGCATTTGACAGACCCTGTACCCTTTCAAAATGAAAACTATCAACAAACTAGAAGGGCCAGGGAGATATCTCAGAGTCACAAGCACCTACTTGGCAAGCACAAAGTCCTGAGTTCAATTCCCAGTACAAAAATAAAACAAAACAAAACAAAAACTAGAAATAGATAGGCATTCCCTCATCCTAGTTTAAAAAAAAAATACAGGTAACATCATATTTAATTGTGAGAGTCTGAATGCAGTTCCCCTAAGACATGAACAAATGAGGATGTCCACTCTTACCACATCTGTGTAACGTTGTGCTGGATAGAGGTCCTAGGTAGTGCCACTGGGCAAGAAAGAAGAAATACGAGTATTGAGAGTGGAAAGAAGGGAAAGAATCCCTACTGAAAATTACATGATCTTGAATATAAAAAATTCTCTAAGGTTCACTAACAAACTGTTAGATCTAAAAGGTGAATTCAGCAAGGTTTTAAAATATATAAAAGTTGATTTTATTTCTGTACATTGGCAAGGAATAATCCAAACATGAAATTAGAGAAACAATTTATAATAGCATCAAAAAACAATATTTAACAAACAAAATGTAAATTAACAAATGAAGTGTAAAACTCTGAAGACTACGAAACACTACTGAAACAAGTTAGAGACCTAAAACATAGAAAGACATTCCATGTTCATGAGTTGGAAAGTTTAACATTGTAAAGATATTCCCAGATTTTTCTACAAATTAGTGAAAATCCCAGCTGCCTTGTTGTAGAAACTGACAAGCTAATCCTAAAATTTGTTCGAAGCTGTGAGGGCCAGGAATAGCCAAAACAATCTTGAAAAAGAACAATTGTAGAGAACTCACATTTCTCAATCTCAGAAATTATTATGAAGTTACACTAATCAAAATAATATGATACTGATGATAAAAAGAAACAAAGTACTGATACATGGTCCAGTATGGAAGACCCTTGAAAACAATGTGCTAACTAAAAACAGCCAGTTACAAAAGACTGTATCCTATTGTTTCATTCTAATAGTCAAATCTGTAAAAGTAGATTGGTGGGAGATAGAGATAGAGCTGGGAGACAGACACAGGGTTTCTTCAGAGATGATCAGAAAACTCTAAAATTATGGTGATGGTGCCACAGTTGTGTAAATGTACTAAACAATCAATGGATTATACACTTTAAAATGTTTGAATTGTGTTATATAAATTATGTGTCATGATATACTTACAAAATTACCTATAGAAGAAAGTCAAACAATAGAAGCAATCAGAGGAAATACGAATGTCCAACAAGTGTATGAAAGATGTATATTTATCAGTGTTACTAATAATTAAAAGAATTGTAGGCTTTGTGTGGTGGCACACACCTATAACTGCAGTGCTCAGGAGGCTGAGGCAGGAGGATTGCTGTAAATTCGATGGCAGCCGGGGCTACAAAGAGAGTTCAAGGCCAGCCTGAACTGCGTAGTGAAACCCTTTCTCAAAAAAGACAAAGACCCAAAAAAATGAATAAAAAAACAAAAACAGAACTGTAGATTTTAAAAATTCACTAACTTCATGCTCCTTAACAGAGAACAAAGATTAACAGAGAACAAAAAAGAGATTGAGAACACACAAAAGAATATTAATAATCTTGTCTTTCAGAATTAAAAATGTATAAATTTCTAATTGCTTAAATAAAGTCACCTATGCTCATGTCTTATAGGAATACTGTTCTGTTTGCTAAGAATAGAGCACTGGAGCACTACCCAACAGCAGAGCACTATCTAACAGAGCACTGTCCAACAGATAATTCTAGTTGGTTCTTTATTTTCTTGTGTTCCTCTCCCTCCTGTAGAAGTCACTAAATCAGTCCCTTTTTACCCCAGAAAGAATTAAGGGATTCACCCAAATTGCAAGATACTATAGTTAACAGCACAGGCATGTCTGTACTCCAAGTTTCCTAACTTTGCAGTTACTGCTGTACTTTTCTACCAGACTGGGCACAGTTTACAAAAGCTGGTACTTACAAACCCCAGCACTGTGGAAGGCAGGATGGAGAATCCGAGAAACTAACTTCTATAATGTGGCCAAACTCAGGTGGTTTGGAAGTTTGTTTTATTTCTGATTACTTAATACCCTATATTATCTAGTCGTTTTGTTTTTTAAACTTTGCTCTCTCTTGATTTCTTATTTTGAATGCTTTCTAGTCTTGTTCAACTTTCTTGTACAGTTTGCAGATTGGATCTGTCTTTCATGTGCATCAGAAATCTTGTCATTAATCAAGCTTCCTATCCTCGTCTTAGCAGTTTCCTTTCATATCCTTTCTTTCCAAGTTCCATACACCTGTTTGAGAATCTCTTCTGCAGCAAAGTACTGTTGGGTTTTAATGTGCTTTTTCCATAGAGTAATAATTAATTACTCCTTGAGTCCTTTTGTGCATGTGTACCGCCACCATGCTCCTCTGTTTATGGCATGACTTCTTACCTGAAGCCTGCTGAAATCCCTATCTAAATGTATCCATCTTTTGTACTAGATTGTAAGAAAGGCTAGCTAGGCACTATATTTTGCTTGATGTCCAGTAAACATTTGTTAAATAAATACTTGAAATACTGAACTTTCAAGTCTTACCAATTAAAACTTGACTTTACATGGTTTTTTTTTCTTTCTTTCAGAATTTGGAGTTGTCTGCTTAATATTCTCTGCAACACTAGCTTATTTCCCACCCCGGCCTCCTCTTCCTCCCAGTGTTGCTGCAGCTAGCCAGCGGCTGAGTTACCCACGCAGCTTTTGCAGATTATTGAGGTAAACATATTTAGAGTCATTGAGCGTTTGTGACTGCAGTATAATTCCTATGTGTGCATGTGCGTGTGTCTGTGTGTGAGAGAGAGAGACAGAGAGAGAGAGAGAGAGAGAGAGAAAGAGAGAAGTGAAGTGAACCTAGGGCATTTGCACTGAGCTTTAGTTTTTATTTTGGGACAGTCTCACTAAACTACTCAGATTAGGCTGGAAGTCCCAATCCTGCTACCTCAGCCTCCTAGAGTGCCAGGATTATGGACATGCATCCCCAGATTAATTTCATATTTTTAAAAGAGAATTTGAAATAGTAAGTTTTTAGCAACCATTAATTGGGTTGTAAATAGTTGATAAAATACTAATTAAATGTTTTTATTACCTGAAATATTAAGAAATCACCCAAAATAAAACCATTATAATTTTTGCTTTATCTGGTACCATCTATCCTATCAAACTTTTACTTTCCTTAAATAATTTCTTTTATAAAGAAATTTATATCAAACTTGTATCGAGTAGTGTTTGTGAAATTATGGGTTTTGTATGTTTATTTTATTCATTATGTATTTGTTAACACATAGTAAATAAGGTGCTATTTAGTACGTGAATAAAATATTGTACTCATATCACCTAAAATGATCTCTTGTAACACCAGTAGGTTCACACTTTGAGAAAGGTTAATGTAGTATTTTATTGGTTTAACTCAGTTTAATTGTAGTTCAATCTGTCCTCAAAGGCTCCAGTGCTGTAGTACTAAATCTGATTCTTTGGAGGTATGGAACATCACTGTTAATTATGATTGTCAGTGGGCTACTTGAATTTATCTTTTGGATTTTCTTCCCAGCTAGTTGTAATGAGTTTTTATTGATTCATCAGTCGCTGTCTCTGGTTGGTTATTTGCTTGTCTTTCTCTGCCCCAAGATGGTAAATTGCTTGTAATAAGGAGCTATGTCCTTGTAGCTTCTATAGTAATACTGTCCAATAGGAATATAATTCAAGCCACATATGTAATCTTAAGTTTTCTAGTAGCCTCGTTAGAAATAGTAAAAGGAAACAACTAAAATTAATTTTAGTAGCATATCTTATTCAATTCAGTATAGCTAGAATATTATTGTCTTAACACGGGACCAATATTAAAAATTATTGAGACATTTAACATGCTTATATTTGTATAAAAAAATCTTTGATATCTAGTGTATATTTTACCTTTACAGCACATCTCACCTTGGATACTAAATTTTCAGAAATATTTGATATGTATTTAGATTTCATGAAATTCAGCTGAAAAATATTCATTCCTATATTGTTTCCTATATTGCACCAAAATAAAAATAAGTCATTGCATTTTCAAATTATGAATTAACAGACCTTTAATATTATAGGAAAAGTCTTACATTCTACAGGTGCTTAATTGAACATGTCACTTTTGTAAAATGTAGTTTTTAGCTTTTCTTACAATTTTAAGAAATGTCATAACTAAATTAACAACTTATTTTACCATTTCTTCATCTAAAATGGTTTTTTGTGGGTGAAAAAATCTAAATGATTTAATACCTGGCCAAAGTCATAAGTTCAGATCTGTCTGTTAAAAAAATATTTCAGAATGTTTGTTGGTCATTTTGCTTTTTTGACAGTTGAGAAGAAACTTTATATGAAACTCACCATAAATTTGCTGAAAACTTCTTACCACTACCCACTGTAATGACATAAAATTTTTTTCACAGCAAACATTTCACTTTGCTCTGCCGCAGCAAATTCCTGATGCTATTCATTGTAAAATTCGCAACATGCCTTTCTCTGTTCCAATCTGTTATTTTCTTTTGACATGGAATATTCAAATGAGCAAATTAGAATGCTGTATCAATGTGGAGAGAAAAATAATTAGAACCAAATCAGCCCATTGTCACCAGGAAGATCAGCCATGGGTGATAACAATAGAAAACACCCAGCCAAGTGTACATATCTTACACACTGCAGCTGGTAAAGAGAAACAGTTCTGCCAAAACATGAAGGCTGTTTAAAGGAAAGGAACGGCTTTCTATTGTTTCTGCTTTTAAATTTAGGTTTAAATTAGTGCAGATAAGATAAAATTACAAAATCAGTTCCTCAGTTACATTAGCCACATTTCACTTGCTGTATATTACTTTTCAAGTTGCAGTTCACAGCGAGGTAATTGAGTGGGTTGAACACAAATTTTTACAAATAAAATGGAGTGGAATAAAATAGGATAGAAAATATTGTATGTATGTAGCTAGGACACATTTTTGTGAGACTGTTGTTTCAGTATATATGCATACATATATGTATGGGTAAGTCACAGAGTAAAAATAAATTTCTTAATCTATGGTTGAAAACCACTTCTGTACAGCATCTAGTATATTGTCTTCCACATAATAAAGAAAAATATTAACTAACTTGAATTTTGATCAGTGGTGCACATTTGTAATGTGACTATTTAAAATGATCATTTTTAAAAATGCTATTTAGCTAAATTTTTCTCCATGCAAAGCCAAAAACAGAGGTGAGATATTAATAGGTAAAGCTAGAGAGGTAGATTGGCACCATATTATGTCACACTAATAATCTTGGCCTATTCTCTGTGAAAGAGGAGCTATTAAAGGATTTTAAGCTAAGAAGTTATGTACAAAATTGTTCTGTCAGGAAAGAACATTAACTTGAAATTACACCCTATGGTACATCCTATATATACTTCTAATTATACAAGAATCAAGACCTTCATTCTGTTTGAACCATGAAGTGAAATATAAGTCCATTTTCACCAACACCGAACATCCTTTTGTCTTTACTGCCTGTGTGTGCAGTTCGCACCATTGCCGGCCTCACCCTTGGGCTCTGGAGTAAAGTTCTCTGGGCCTCACTTGCCCCACCCCCAGTCCACAATATAATCTTCTCTGGCCTTTCAAAGAGCTCCTGAAATCATTACTTCCAGGATCAATCAGGATAATGGCCTCTAAATTTCAATTCCATTGTCTGAGCAGAAATGCCATCAGTGTTTATGCACCATGGTTTCACCACAATTAAGTTCCTGTCCACATGATTCCCTTCTCATAATATGCTTTGAACCTTTGTGACCAATGTAAACATTGCTCTGTCTTTGGTGTCTATTTGATGATAGTGGTTTTTTTTTTTTTTGCCTTGTAGATGACAAGATGAGAGAAGTTGAACATGTTGCTTACTTGGGGCAAATGAACACATTTATTCATTCTTTTGTTCATATTTCCTGCTCCCATTCCTCTCCCTGCTGCCGTTTCTCAAATGCCTTTAAAGTGTATCTCTTTATCTCTGTGCCTTTGCAATATATATATGGGTAGATAGATAGATAGATAGATAGATAGATAGATAGGTATAGTTTTGCATGTTTCTGTTTATCTAAATGAGGACATATCATTCTTTATAAAAATAACCTATATTACATACACTTTTCATATATAATAATTTATAATATATATTATATATAGTATCTTGAATACTTTGTTTACAGAATACTTTGTGGGTTTTTTTTAAACTTTCTATTTTGGAATGTTACAGTAATATACAAGCTAGAATAGTATAACTCCCCCATAACCCAGTGTCAGCAAGTATTGTTGAGACGCCAATCTTTTTTCTTTCTCTTTTGTCTTTTTTGAGGCAGGGTCTCACTATGCAGTTCTTGCTGGCCTTGAGCGCACTTTGTAACCCATGCTGATCTCAGACTCACAATGATCCTCCTGCCTCAGCCTTCTCTGAGTGCTGGGATTACAGGCATACGCCCCTCACCCAGCTGAGCAGCCAGTCTTGTTTCTTCTTTGCTCCATCCACTTCCCACTTTCTGACATTCTAAGTCACATCCCAGGGGACAGATCATTTCCTCCAGAAATATTTCATTATGAGCAATACAAGGACTCTTTTCAAACATAAGTATAGTGCCATTATCTTACCTCAGAACTTTTCTAACAATAATTTGCTAATACCAAATCAGTATTTGAATTTCCTATTGTCTCCTAAATTTTTCAACAGCTCGTTTGAATTGGGATCCCGATTAGGTGCACACACTGCATTTGACTCAAATGCTTTCTAGTCTGTGGACTTCGTTTCCGTTCTTTCCCTCTTGTCATTGTAATTTATTTATTGAGGAAGCAGCTCTTTTATCCCCAAGTTCTGGATTTTGTGGATCGTCTGCTTGTATAATTTGACAAATTCTTCTGTTATTTGTGTTTAATATAAATTGTTAGCCATATCTGTATTCTGACTTGGTTTTTCTTTTTGTGTTTGTTTTTGTTTTACAAGACTACTCCATCCTTGAGACTACCTTTGCCTATCAGGAGACATATGGTATCTGGGGGGCTCCATGTGGGGATGGTGTTACTGTTTCAAGATACACCTTTGTTCCTGTGTGTACTCCTAATTCTTTATACACAGAGTATTAACCCGTCATTTTATCTCTCTCTCCCCATTGTGTACCCAGATTGCCTCCAATTCACTGTTGCCAAAAATACCTCTGGTGTGACACTTCCTACAGCATCACCATGAATACAAGAATTTCCTAGAGAAATAGATCCTACAACAGGATTGCTAGGTCATAGTATCGCTTAAATTTAATTTGCCAGTCATTGTCAGATCAGTCTGAGAAATGTGACCACTGGACTTGCCATTTTCCATCTTTGCAATCTTGGCCAATCTAATATCTTTATTTAATTTGCATTTTGTGATTATTGATTTTAGATTCTCATTATTTATTAGCCTTATAGGTTTCATCAACTATAAAATTCCTGTTCATAGCTTCTGCCAGTTTCTTAATGGTAATTTCTTTTTCTTAATGATTTACATATTTTAGATATAAATGTTGTGTTGATTTTTAAAACTTTAAACATCTACTGTTAGTCTGCCATCTGCCTAATAATTTTTCTATGGGTTCCTTAATTGTCAACTTTTTCACATTTAGGTTTTCACTCCACCTACAATGCACCTTAATATATGATGTTAAGTAGTGATATAGGAGTGTTTTTTTCCCCATAAAGTACTCTGGCACCGTTTATTAAAGATCCTTAGCACTTTGATTTGCAGTGCCATCTTTATTATGTGTTGAATTTCTGTGTCTTACCTCTCTATGGTTAAAATATCATTAACCATATTTTTTTAACCAGACCTCATAAAGACACAAAAAGGGACTTCCAGAATTGCTTCAGAAAGTGGCAAGAATGATGGGATAAGTGTGTTGGAGCAAGGGGGAGTATTTTGAGGAAGATTAGCTGCAGTGTGTCTTTAACTGTGATATATTTTAAAAATTTAATCATTCACTGTAGTTTTTGATCACCCCTTGTATATGTGCGTTGGGCTTATATGTTAATGATATTTTGGGGGCAGTTACCCATTACGCATTGGTAATTGCAGTCAATAGAACTAAGAGAGAGATTTGTCTCATGCATTTCTTGTAATTTTTCACTTCATGTGAATTAAACTGCCTGTTAAAATATTTTATTAATAAAACCTTTAGGAGGAAGAAAACGAAAATGAAAGCTACTAAGAAATAAAAACTAACAAACTCTACATTTCTGTTTAATATTTGCTTTTTCCTTATTCTTAAGGAGAATCAGTAAATTATCCTTTCAGATAAGTGTTTTTAAACTGAACTTATTGACTATACTCATTTTGTCAAGTAATGTTGATAATTAAGTAAACAATGTAATACAGTAAACATTGGCAATTTTAAGCAATATTAAGAAAAAGGTTATTCTTACACAAAAAATTTTTTTTAAAAATTTAATTTAAAAAAATTTAAAGGAACTTGAATAACTGAAAGATATTTTTTGTTTCTGATTCTAATGTTTTCAGTTTTATTTTTCATGAGTAACAATTTAAATTCTAGATTAATTTATAATGTTTTCTCTTACTTTTACAGCAATTTGAGATTTTTGATGATTGCTTTAGCATATGCTATACCACTTGGTGTATTTGCTGGCTGGTCAGGCGTCTTGGACTTAATTTTAACACCAGTGCATGTCAGTCAAGTAAGTATTTTATTTATTTGTTATAGGTATTTTGACTCATTTAATTCATAAATACTGGTTACATGTTCTTGATTTAGCTTCAAAGACTGTGTAGAACATTGTCCTAAGTCATTGCTGCAAAAGCAAGATTCTTATGAAACAGTTAAAAACTTGATAGCAGAACTGGGCCTGTAATCCCAGCACCAGGGAGGCTGAGGCAGGAGGATCACCATGAGCTGAAGGTCAGCCTGGGCTACATATTGAGTCCAAAGCCAACCTGAACTACATTAAAAAAATAAAACTTGATGAAAGACGTGGTTTTACACTTCTTTTGGTACTATTAATAATGATGCTGATAAATAGACAATGAATAAATATTAGTTTGTTTGGGTTTTTTTCTGGTTTTTCTCCCGTACCGGGAACCAAACTCATGACCTTGCGCTTGCCAGGCAGGTTCTTTGCCACTGAGCTAAATCCCCAGCCCCGAATAAATATTAGTTTTGTTGACTACATCATTTATTTTCAAACTTCATAAAGAAGTTTGACACCATCATCAAATGTATTACTCTTCCACATTTCATTTCTTACTTTTTCTCTGGTCTCAGAAAAAGGATATTTCATAGCTGGGCATGGTAGTGTATGCCTGTAATCCCAGCACGTGGGAGGCTGAAGCAGGAGGATCACCACAAGTTCAAGGCCAGCCTGGGCTATGTAGTGATCTCAAGTCCATCCTGAACTACACAATGAGACCCATGTCTCAAACCAAAAAAGGATCTGGTCATGAAAAAAAAGGGTATCTCATTTCTTTAAAAACAACCATTTCACCATGCTTAATACCATCTATTCCTAGTCTTTGCCTCCGTATAGGAAGGGTAAAGAAAGATTTAGTGGGACAAGTGGGTGAAGTTGCTGTACTGGTGTGATAGAATATTCCATTGTATGAGTATATGGTTTTTCCATTCTGCTTTTGATGAACTTTTGGATTATTTTGACTGACCCAAGTAGAGGTGTGTGAATACTCTCATACATGAGTACTCTCATACATGTGTCTTATGCCTGCCTTTGACATCTCTATTGGATGTATACATATCTAGTAATGGAATTGCTAGTTATTATTGTCTTCCTACTTTGGGGCTGGGGATTTAGCTCAGCGGCACAGCGCCTGCCTGGCAAGCGCAAGGTTGTGAGTTTGATTCTTGGTACCGGAAAAAAACCAGGAAAAAAAAAATGTCTTCCTCCTTCAATGGATGAGGCCAAGCTTGTCCAAAGTAGATGCGTTCATTTACAAACCTACCAGCAGTACTTGAGTCCAAAGCCAACCTGAACTACGTTAAAAAAATAAAACTTGATAAAAGTTTTGGACAAACTTAATGAAGTTTCTCAGTGTTCCATATCATGACCAGCACTTGGTCATGTGATAATGTTATTTTTTTTCCATTTTAGACACTTATGGCTATGCATTTGTATATGGTGATAGTGATGTCAGTCCCTACAGATGTAGTATATCTTACTGATACATAAACAAGAGAGCTGTGGAGAAGAAAGATCTCCAGAAGATTGTATGGGGACCCCAGTAATTTCTGGCTGATAAATGAGCCCCTTTATTATTTATATCAGGGCAGAGCTGCTAGGGGCTTAACCTGAGAGACTGCTTTGGGGCTGAAAGCAGAACAAAGACAAAAGAGGTCAAGCAGTGTTTTGGAGTTCTGGCCCAGCTAATGTGACGCTACCTCATTAACAATTAACTCTTTGGCTCCTGCTGAGACACTGGGAAAGCAACTGTAGTCAGGGACTATGCCATAGGTAGAGTAAATCCCACTCTAATTAGACCCACCCTAAACAAAGCCTGGGTCAAGCCCTGCAAAACTCTATAGAGCAAACAGTTTGGAGCATGATCCCTCCAAGTGAAACGTGCTGGAGAAACATCTTGACTTTTGTTTGTCTACTCTAATAGAGCACAGAGCTAGCCCATGCAGTCAAATTCAGAATGATCAGCCAGTAATTGAACTCCCTACTAAAACAACAGTCAACCATTTTAGAGAAAGATAAAAGTATCCAGAATCTCTACATTCATCACGCACAACATACAAAATACAGTTTTAGGAAAACACATTAGACACGCAAAAAATCAGAAGAGTATGACTCATTTTTTTAAAAAAAGAAATCAGCAAAAGCCAGCTCTTGGTCTGGTTATTGGATTTGACAGACTGTAAAGCAAAAAAAAGATTTTTCAGCATGTACTTGCTCTAAATTTGTGAGTATATCTCTCTGTTATCTTGTACAACTTCTTTGTCCAGTATCTAGCTACATGTGACTGTTTAATTTGAAATTTAAATCAATTGAAATAAAATAAAAGTAAACATTTTCTTCCTTAGTTTAAACTAACTTGCACTCCTGGACTAAATCCTGCGTGTTAGCGGTATATTACACATTTTGTATATCACTGGATTAGTTTACTCATTTTTTGCAGTTAAATTCATGAATGAAACTGGTATAGTTTTTCTTTCTTGTCCTATCTTTGTTGATTTTAGTAGCCATATTTTACTGGTCTTAAAGAACAACTAAGGAAACCTTCCCTCCTTTTCTATTATTGTCAGTTTGTATAAGATTGGTGGTTTTGGTCTTTTGTTTTTCCTAAATATTTGGTGGAATCCTGATTAAGCTATGTAGTTTTTTATTAAAAGATTTTAAATATAGATTCAATTTTGTTAATAGTTAGAAAATTATTCCATTTCATATTACCAGTTTTGGTAAGTTGTACATATGTAATATAGTTTGTCTCTCTTGATTTTTAAATTTATTGGCAAAAAGTTCTTCATAGTGTCTGTCATCTTATGATTTTATTAGGTCTCCAGGGTAAGTCATTCCAAGATACTGCTCATCCATATCTTCTCTCATTTTTTCCTTGAACAGTTTCACCAGTGGGTTTCTATTGAATGCTTTTCTTCTATTTTATTGATTTCTGCTTTTTTCTTATATTTTTCTGTTCTTCTGGTTTTTTTCAGGGCATTGCTGTTTGTTTTCTAATTCTTGATTTTTAGCTTTTCTAATATATTCACTTCAAGGCTACATATTTCTTATTAAACACAGCTTTTTCTTCACCCCATAAGTTTTACAAAGTAGTATTTTCATTATTATTCAATTTAATATATTTTCTAGTGTCCGTAATGATTTCTTCTTTGAGCCACGGTTTGTTTATAGGAAATTTTCTTAATCTACAAACTATTGAAGATTCTCTAGTTTTTTTTCTATCTAAGCTGCATAATTGTGATCATAGGATATCTGTATTTATTTCAGTATTTTAAAATTTTGGACCTAATTATGCCCTATAATTCTTGGATATAAGTGTTTTATGTCAGTTAAATTGATTCTGTTAATTATGTTGTTCACATTTTTTGTCTGATTGTTCTACCAGTTAATGAGAGAGATCTGTTAAAACCCTCCATGATTATTATGAATTTGTGTTTCTCCCTTGTTTTATGCCAGTGTTTGCTAGATATGTTTTAAGAATATGTAATTAGCTACATGTGAATGTAGAGTTGTCAAATCTATCAGTGAATTAAAACTTTTATTTGTGTTATTCCTTATTTCTAAGTGATGCTTTCTGCCTTGAAACCTACTCACTACAGTAGCTTTTTTGGTCGCGGGGAGGAGGATAGTGGTGGTACTGGGGATTAAACCCAGGGCCTTAGCACTGAGCTGTATCCTTAGCATTTTTTAAATTTTGAGACAGGATCATGCACACCATGCCTGGCTACACCAGCTTTCTTTTGATTGTGTTTGTATGGTTTATCTTTTTACATTTTTTCACTTACACAATTTTCTTGGATACATTTGGAAGCAGCATATTATTTTTTCTTTAATATAGTCTAATACATTGTGTTTTAATTGGAGTATTTAGTCCATTCACATTTAATGTAATTACTGATAAATTTGGGTCTAGATTAACCATCTTGCTATTGGTTTTCATTTTGTTTGCTTCAATATATTCATTTTCTCTTCTTTCCTACTATCTTCTGGATTGATTAAATATTTTTACTAGTCCCTTTTCCTCTTCTATTAGCTTGGTAGTTCTAAACTCGTTTACTATTTATTGGTTACCATAAAAAGTACAGAATGCATACTTTTCTAGGACAGTCCAAGGTCCTTATGAAGCCCTCTAACTTTGCATAACTTTCTCCATCTTTTGTGCTATTATGTCACATTTTAACTACAGAAGCCATTATTTTATCGTTTATATAGTCAATATTCAGTTAGATTCACCCTTGTATATATTAATTTTATCTTCATCCTTTTCACGATCATTTTGTCTTCTGCCAAGAGAGCACGTGTTAACTGGGGGTTTGTTTGTTTGCTTGCTGTACAGGTCTGCAGTGATGCATTCTCTTGTTTGGGTTTTTGTTTGTTTGGTTAAGGGAGAAGCAATTCACAGGTTGAACCCAAGGAAACTTTTTCACTAAGCTACATCCCCAGCATGATCACCCTCCTTCTGAGACAGGGTCTCAGTACATTGACCAAGCTGACCTTGAACTTGTGATCCTCCTGCCTCTGCCTCCTGAGTAGTTGAGATTGTAGGCATGTACCACCACACCTAGCTTTTTTATCTTTTGTTTTGGTCTGAAAGGGTCTTCATTTCACCTGTAATTTTGAAGATCTTGTTATGGGGCAACATATTGTTGGTTAACGGTTATTTTCTTTTGGTTCTTTGAAAATATCATCCCATTTTCATACTTAGTTTCAGTTGAGAAGCCAGCTGTCAAATTGAAAGCTGCCTGCTTTCTAAGATTTTGTTTTTCATTAGCTCCAGCAGTTTTACTATGACATTAATTAAGTGGTGGTTTCTATCTGAATATATTCTACTTGAGGTTTTTAGGTCTCCTTGTGTCTACAACTTGATACCTCTCTTCAGTTCCTGAAAATTCTTAGCCAGTATCTCCTCAAAACTTGTATTCCATTTTCTCTAATCTATCTTTTGGGGACTAACTATGTATGTTACACATGTATATTGGTCCCTCACATCTCTTACTCTTTTCTTAGCTTTCCATAATTCACCTTCCTCTGCTTTAGAGTGGATATATTACCTAGTGTTTCGCCCAACTCACTATTTCAGTTTTCAGCTCTAATGTTAAATTCATCTATGAGTTAGTTTTAATTCTTGAATTTTTGTTATGAAACTTCTATTTGGTTCTGTTTATAGTTTATACATTTCTGTAGAAATGCTTTATCTTTTTTGTTTTGATCTATTAAAATAACTATTTGAAAGTCTGTGTTTCATAGTCAGGTAATGTGGATCTCCTTGTGTTTTTGGTAATCAGTCATCTTTTCTTATTTTTTTATGTTTTCAGCAATTTTTTGACTGAGATAGTGACAAGTTATAGAAGTAATTTAATCTTCAAGATGATGCCATTTTCCTCCAGAAAGAACTTATGTTTGTTCTGCTAGTGAGCATCTTAATCTAGTTTCAGGGATTGAGATTGTTTAAAGTGGAGCTTTAATGCTGAAATTAATTGAATGGTGAACAGGCAGAGTACTGCTTGGCTTCCAGTGCCCCCCACTGTGAAGGTATTATAACCCTCGGAGTTCTTCAACTGTGGGGTTTTTACAAGGCCTCCTCACCCAACAGCAGACACCAAACTCTTAGTTTTCCTTTGCTAAGTGAATGAGGCTTTCGATAATTTCTTAGCCACATTTCTGAACCTTAACCGTATTTTCTGAAACCAGCAGGCACCCCTAAAGGAACGCTGTCTCCAAATACTAGGCCTTTCTCTCCGGGTTTCCTTCCTGCCCTAGATCATGGCTCTGAAATTCTGGATTAATTTATGGGCAGTCTGTTGACTTCAGACAGATTGCCTCACAGATTTTCTAGTTGTCAACCAGAACACTAATTGAAATTGCCTAGTGTACTTGTTTTTAGTCCATACAAGGCTACTCTAACAAAATACCTTAGGCTGTGTAGTTGATAATAATAGAAGCTTATCTCTCACAGTTCTGAAACCTGAGAAGTCCAAAATCAGGCCCCAACAGACTTGGTCCCTGGTACAGGCTCTCTCTGTGTGTGGAGGCTGCCCCTTTGTGCTGTGGCCTCTGCTCTAAGGGCACTTGTCCCACTCAGGAGGGCAGAGGCCTCAAGATCGAATCACCTCTGCACGGCCCCTCCCTGAATAGTGTGCAATTGAGGATTAGTTTCAGCACATGTATTCTGGAAGGACACCAACTGTTAGAGCATAGCAGTACCTTTACCATAAGAAGATAGCCTTATTGGGTGAGGCATGGTGGCAAGCACCTGTAATCCCAGCACTCAGGAGGCTGAGACAGGAGGATCACTGTGAGTTGGAGACCACCCTGGACTACATAGTGTGAGTTGAAGGCCAGCCTAAACTACATAGTGAAACCTTATCTCCAAAAAGCCAAAAAAATAAAAAATGAAAGAAGATAGCCTTCTTTGTGTTTTCTAACCTACTTTTCTGGATGGTAGGAAATGTGCTCAGTTCTGATAAGGAAAAGCACAGTGACTATTTAAATCATGACGATTTTGCCTATCTATGCTTTGTATTGAAAACCCTGTAAACCCAAGCATCTTTCTCCATACAAAGTTGAAGAGATACAGAGACCATGAATCATACCAGGTATTAAAGTGAAATTTAAAATTAAATGAAAACAAGAAAATTAAAGCAAAGAAAAATTTTAATTATTGGGTAGAATTGTATTAACTAAAGTGAATACTGTGAACAAAAAAGAAACAAAATCACAAACTGGCCTAAAGAGACCATCATCAGTACAGGCAGATACATAGTTGTCCTTAGCCTGCCGTAGGACCCCACTCAGCCAGGGGACAGGTGACATGTCTGTGGGGCTTAACTGCATTATAAATAAGCTTTAGACATTGGGCAGTGAACACCCTGTAACGAAAGAGGTATTCCTGAAGACTAGAGTCCTCTTGTCCCAATTGCCAGTGGTATGAAAAACTAGAGCTAATATAGACCTTAGGATGTTGTTATCTTTCTCCAAAGACATTTATATATGTTTGTTTGCTTCGGATGGCAAATACAGGTAGAGCAAAAGACTTACATGCAGTCATTGTATTACTTAGCGTAGGCTAAGCTGCTGTAAGAAGTGGACTTCTCCAATTTTGATACCTGAGAGTTTCTCTTCACATAAAAGTGTAGGACAGTATGCACAGTCCAGGACAGTTGGTCACAGTCTGGATGACTGTTCTCCTCTCACTGATGTAGAAATGTGGGCTGCTTCTACACTGTAGCTATTCTGTCCCCTGGACCTTGCTTTACATGCATAGGAGTGACCACATCCAGACTCCAGGTGGAGGAAAGGGAAAGCATACAACTGTTTTCTACAGTCTAACCTGGAGTGGGCACACCTCACCTCTGCTCACATCCATAGTGAGAACATAGTCACACGGTGCCAGAGAGGAGTAGGGTCACATAATCTAGCAAGTACTCAGGTAGAAAACAACATTCAGTGAACAGTTACCAGTCCCTGTCACAAGAGCAGTGAAAAATATGACTCAAAAAGTAATAAAAGGTAGAAGTTAGTTTGAGCTATCTCCCTAGTACCAGGTCAAATTAGGACTTTGCTCTGTAGCCAGTGGCTGATTCTTTTTTTTTTTCTTGCAGTACCAGGGATTGAACTCACGATCTTGTGCTTGCCAAGCAAGTGCTTATGCCACTGAGCTATAGTCCAGCCCCCAGTGAGTGTTTCTGAGCAGGGAAGGGGAATGAAGAGAATACATCTTTTGGCCGTATGAGGCAAAACAGATTGTGAAGACCAATCAGAAGCTATTAGAACAGTCTAGAAGTAAGAAATAAGGTCCTAATAGAATAAATGTGGTGGTAGTGGGAAAGGGAAAGAAAAAAACATGCACCAGTATTGTTAGGAACACACAGAATTTCAACAGTAAGAGCCGCTGGCATATATCGAGCACTTTACACTTACTGACTTATTTAACCCTCAAACAATCTCTATTTTCTCCATTTTACTAATGAAGAAAACTGAAATTTAAATGTACGTTGTGAAAGAAAGCAAGTGACAGTAAAAGTTAGAGGTGGACAAGTGACATGGAAGTGCGGCATCTGTAGATTACTCTGGAAAGAGTGTGGCCATATCAATATGTTTTTAGATATTGCCAGATATTGTAGCACCTAAATTAGTTCCTAGGACTTCCATTTATGTTGGTTATAATTAAGCTTTTTGAAGTCAGTGACCGTCTTCTGTCCTTTTCCCGCTGTCCTCAGAGTCCTAGCACAATATAGCATATGGCTGGAAATATTTATTTAGTGACATTGATTATATTGATTTAAATATTCCAATAAAAAGTTAATCAAGGGCATAATTATATAGGTTTGTATTAATTAGTTACATATTAATCTTTTCATTCTATCCATTTTCTTAAATAGGACTTTGCTCTGTAGCCAGTAGCTGATTCTAGGAAATACTATAAGTAGTATTTCCTACATCTCTTGCCTTTTAGTTGTTACATATTGATTATTGAGAATTTTTTAGTTCTTCTAAATGAAAGTCTTTCATTAAATGTGTCTGCTCCTTTTTTAACAGGTAGATGCTGGCTGGATTGGATTTTGGTCCATAGTTGGAGGCTGTGTTGTTGGAATAGCTATGGCAAGGTGAGAATATTTCATATCAAACGTGAGTGCACAGAAGAGGGGCAGAATCCTGGAAGACATAGGCTCCCTTCAATAAACATTCACATTCAGGGGAAAGCCCGGCAGGCTGAGGTCAGAAAAGGGCGCCATTCAGGCTACAAGAAATTCATGTGGAGAAGATAAATTGGCTGCTGTAAGGAACTTTTTCAGGAGTGGTCCTTCTTAAAATGTTTTTTAGAGACTGAAAATGTATTCCTGTGTCATTAAGCTGCTTCTCTCCATATTATTAAAGAACAGAATCTTCAAGTGAAACCCAAAGAAAGATGATAATAAAGGCAAATCAGAACTTAACAAGAATGAAAGGAATTGAACCCTTTATGAGAACATCTCTAAGTTCCCATGAAAAAGCTGTCTCCTGATTGGCAGGTTTTTATTGCAGGTCCTTTTTGGCAGATCTGTCCCTATGGTTGTCCCAGTTTGTTGAAAAATGTCCATGAAGGTTTCCAGTTTCATCAGACTCCCTTTGATCTGAACTCATTAGGACAGCACCTTTTAAGAGTGAATCAGAGAGAAAAGCGTTTCACTTATTCTAAAAAAGAATGAAAATGTCATTCTTTTAGGTGACTGCCTATAACACTACTCTTAGTGTTTTCAAAGAGAAAAGCGTTTCACTTATTCTAAAAAAGAATGAAAATGTCATTCTTTTAGGTGACTGCCTATAACACTACTCTTAGTGTTTTCAAAGAGATAGTATTCATTTACTTCCCAAGTCTTTTTAACGCTGTATAATCAAAAAAAAATGAGGCAATCAACTTTACCTGGGGGGGGCAGATTCTAATTATATGTTTGGGGAAATCAAATAAGAATGTGAATCACCTCAATATCTAAATACTTAATCATAAATGACATAGGATAATATTATTTCTAGACTTTACAGTTTGCCCAGTGTTTCTGGGATAATGAAAGAATAAATTGACACTAACTTCTAAATCACTTTCTTTGAAGTTTCTGTAAGTTAGGAAAACATAAGAATAAAAGCTAAAGAAGCAGGGTGGGAAAATATTATTTGGTTCATACTGAAATACACTGACCTGTCACATTTTGATAGGAATCATACCTAATTTTTCTAATTAAATCTCCAAGCCAATTATAGTGAGTCATCACTGATGAGATACCTTTCTGCATACCAAATAGGTCAAAGAGGGAACCGTTATGTATCAGAAGTGACATCTCATATGCTTTCTCTTCATTTTCTTTCTACAACCCCTTAATTTTAAACTATATATAGATACAACTAGATAGAAAAGTAACAAGGAAGACATTCTGCTTTTTAATGGTTGAAATGAAAATTCTAAAAAGTACTTCCCTTACTCTGTGATCAGAAACAAGTGTTAAGAATTTCTTTAATGAAAAGAAATTGATTTTAAATCAATTTTAAGCTTAAAATCAAATTTTAAATTATTTCCATAACATCATTTTTTGAGAATTCCCAAGAATGAATTCTCCTCATGAACATGTATATTTTGGGTAAATGTTTTGTAGTTATGTTGCTAACGACTGGTGTTCAGGGTGCTGCCTTCTAGGTCCTAACGATAGTCCTTGATGGCATCAGCACATTTGAAAAGACTGGGTGCTCAAAAATAACCTAGCCAGGTGGTGTACGTAGGCCTGTGATCCCAGCACTCAGCAGGCTAAGGCAGGAAGATTGCTCCAAGTTCAAGACCAGCCTAAAGTACATAGTGAGCCACTGTTTCAGAAAACAAACAAACAAGGGCCAGGTATGGTGGTGCATACCCGTAATCCCAGCACTCAGGAAGCTGAGGCAGAAGGATTGCTGAGAGTTCAAGGACAACCTGGGCCACATAGTTCAAGGCCAACCTGATCTCCATAGTGAAACCCTGTCTCAAACAAACAAAATAGCAGGCCACAGTGGTCAGTTTGTTGTTACATGATCAGGTTCTGAGAAACTTTCCTGTAGTTCAACTCTTGAGTTGTGCCATAAAGTGTTTTAGTCTGTCATTCTTTGTCACCTGCCTATCTTGCAGCATATCTAACTGTAAATCAGAAACGTGTTTACCAAACTTGGAATTATGACAAAGCATTCTGCGTTGTCTTGAGGGACATTTCTGTCAAGCTGTGGAAGCTCTTTCAGAGTGCGTAGAATTTCCTGAGTGTAAACTTTCATAGATGAGAGCAAGCCTCGTTAACCAAAAATGCATCTATTTTTTCCACCAAAAGATGGCATCAGCTCCCACAGACAGTCATTTGAGTCTAAAAGGCACTCACATGATTAACCATATCATATCAAATAAGTACAACACAAAGGATAGTACTGAAAGTGTTACAATAACAGCCACATAACCACAATAGAAACTGTAATCAAATTTTTAAAATTCAAAGTAAAGAGAACATGATAAATGTTATATTGAGGATGGGATCAGTTTTTCTATTAATAAGCGCAATTCTAAAGGACAGAGTAAATTATGTATAGGGACAGCCAGAGGATTGTGCTTTATACAGCCCACAACGTGCATGTGAGGAAAAGCAGTCGGCAAAGAGAAAAATATCTGGCATGCCTCTTAGTTTCATGTTGATTCAGAAAATGTTGATGATTTTGAGAACTTAGAATGCTATAGAAGTCCCTAGACTTACAAAATAATACTTAATATTCTAGATGTTATATTCTTGTGCTCAGGAAGCTTACAGCCTGGTAGGAAAGACAAAAAAATAAATGCAGAAATGACTGTTTCTAATGCAGTAAAATGGACTGTGAAGTTGAGTGGGGAGGGCTCGTTGAGGTGCAGGGAGGGCCTTGTCCCACTGAGATCTGAATGGGCTGAGACAGAAGCAGGAGTGGGCCCCAGGGGCCCTGGGGGGGCCCCAGCATTCCAGCCAAACGGGGCACGTGAAAGGCTCCCCAGTGCTGTGTGAAGCAGCCTCAGCCCCTATAGAGACAGAACCGCAGTCATCAGTGAGGACAAGAGGAGCAGAGGCAGGACGAGGTCACACAGGACCTCACCAGCTGTGGGGCAGGCGTTTGCCTCTGTCCTCTTGAGTGTGAATTTTGTGAGAGTCATCTTCGCAATTTATGTCAATAAATCAGCCTGTGGTAAATCAACTTGTTTTTTAAGACTTGGATATGTGTTCGTTATAGGATGTTTAGAAAGTATAGAAAAATAGAAAATACAAGTGGCATTTAAAAGCTCAGAACTATCCTGTGAGTTTGGTGTGTTTTGTAAGAGAAAAAAAGCATCATACTCATGAGAAAATTTGCCAGCTAAAAAGCCTAAACATCAAAAAATACAACTACTAAAAGAATGTATGGAAAGTTCTTCAATTACCAGTTGTTCAATGAAAGTTGTATCCTTAATTTAAATAACAGAGTCCCACTAGAATTAACAGAAATTTGTTTGTCTTTAGGTTTGCAGATTTTATCCGGGGTATGCTGAAACTAATCCTCCTCCTCCTCTTCTCTGGGGCTACACTGTCATCCACGTGGTTCACCCTGACCTGTCTGAACAGCATCACACACCTGCCTTTGACCACAGGTGCGATCAGGGTGTTTGAACTTCAAGTAGAATGAGTATTTTTTGTACAGGTGTACATATTCTGACACTAGAACATTTTCTTGCTTGCTGTAAGTAATTGTTAAATGTATAAAAGGGCTTTCCCTTTTCCAATCATCCCATCTAAAAAGAGTGCAAGAAATAACTAAAACTATTTTAATTAGCATTTTATGTTTGGAAAAGAAGTAAAGTCTTTGGTTAAACTCATATAGCATGGAAAAACATATTTAAAATTTATATCAGAGCATAATACAAAGATTTTTATCTTGGTTATAGTCATTACCTCATTACTCAGTGAGGAAAATAAGGCATAAAGGTATGACATTTAAAGCATACTTCAGTAAAAGTCTTTGATTTCAGCACCTGTACATTTATTTTATATTTAGTTTTATTATATCATCATTATGGAAAATGGAATACTTGTAGAGAGTGTGTTATAGTCAGCTTACTCAGCTGATCTAATTGACCTGAAACGTGTATTTGCTGTTGTTTTTATTATTAATATTCATTCAGGGTCTGTCTTGTTCTGTTGCTGCTACATTAAGTTACATAAATTTAGTGACATAAAGCAGCAGTTTCATTATCTTCTACTTCAGTAGGCTGAAGGAGACCCACCATGGCTCCACTGGGCTAAAATCAAAGTGTGGAAGGCTTGGGAAGAATCTGTTTCCTTGCCTTTCCCAGCTTCTTGGCCCCAAGCCTTGGTCTCTGCGAGCCAAGTCCTTCCAGGCCATGGCACTGGCGCCAACCGCCTGTAGTCATGTCTCTCTCCATACTCTCCCCTTCCACCTCCCTACTTCACTTTTACAGATCCTCGCCTCCATATTGGGCCCACTCGCATAACCCCAGATACTCTCAGTTTTAAACTCAGCTGATTAGCAACACTCATTCCATCTCAGCCTTAATGTTCACAAATTGTAGAAATTAAGACATCAACATCTTTGGAGAACAGAAGCTTTATTCTTCCTAGGCAGGATTTTTTTTTTAAGTTACTTTGATAGATTATTCTATAAACCAAGGGGACTGTGATTGCTTTTTCCTTTTTTCTAACTATACTGCTTAAGGTACATATTACTCAGTCACCTTTTAAATTATATGCTTAATTATAGGTTTATTTTTTATAAAAGCAGATTGCAGCATAGTATTGTCATAACAAGCATTCTGTATGAGTAGGGTAAATAAGAATCTGAAAGTAGCTCTCTAGGTGCTTGTGACCCCAAGGAATGTACATTGCATGGGAAGCCACAAGGAGGGTTCATTTTGTCTCCACATAACTAAGGAATGCTGCATACCCGCCTTTGGATCTCTGTACTTTATAATAACAGAACTGGCATTTTACATGTGAGAGCCATCAAATCTTTAAAGTAGGCCATTTATTTGGAGATTTTACCAGTTTTACAGAGACAGTAGGCCACAGGAGAATGTTGACCCGGGACCGCAGCGGGTCTGCCTCCCTGGAGAATCACAGCAAACTCACGGGCAGCACTGGGTCGACATCTGGTCGATGCTGCTGAGCCTCCCATTCAAGGAAGGGCCAATGTCAGCTGGAGACTGTGCTGCGTCCTTTTTGATAAACTCTTATCTTTGCAAAATTAAATTTCAGCGTTTGCTGTGATAAAAGCAAATACTGCACAAAATCAGTGTGGAACAGGAAATGAGGGTGACACTATTCAGTGGACTCCAAATTGAGACATTGTCCAGTGCCCATCAGATGCATGCATCCCATTAGTAAGTAATTGTAGTCATTCAAGAATGAAATAAATGGTATTTCTTTCAGTTTATGTATATTACTTTGTAAATGGCTACTAAATTGTTAGGACATACATATGTTTATTAAATTGTTTGAACCTAACTGTGTAATTAACAGAATTGGTAGCTATTTCTCTTGATCTTGGGGACACCATGAAAAATTGCTGAGACGCGAAAAAGCCTTGGGAACCTGTGCTTGCCCCGTCCTGCCAGCAGCCCTCACTGTGTGCGTTGTTTTGCCTGCAAAGCCCAGTCCAGAGGCATAATTAGTGACTTCTAATGTGTGAAAATACTGTGCACTGTATGTACCCGTGTTCCTACTGTGGGGTTTTGAACAATTTTGACAAATACTCTAAGCCAGAATTGTTCTCAGTTTTATTCTAGTATAATTGTGTGATTTAACAGCTGGACAACATTGTGGTGGAACAGTTTTAGTTTACAGCTCTTCTTATCCATGGCATCACACTCAGATTTTTCATGGTGCTGTATGTTAAGTATGCATCTGCGAGATTTTCCAAGAACATAGTGATGGGTGCATGATGAGCAGATTTCTTTCCCTTGAATTAAGTGTAAAATATTCATTGTAAGATAGTACATTCATTTTTAGGTATTTTCTACTTAACATTACACAATTAACAGTTTTATCTCTGAGTAGAGGCATTAGGAATGAATTTAATTTCTTTCCTCTGTTTTTGTCTTGATTTGTGTAGTGATCATGTTTTGCCTTGATAGTTGGGGGAAAGCGTATTTGAAAACTATACATCTTTTTAAATCATAAAAGAAAATTGATGTAAGTGACCCTGGTCAACACTTTTCCTAGTCTGTTGTTGAGAATAATTATGTTGGACAGAAAGGAAAGCAGAATGCTAAACTAAGGCCAGAATGGGAAGGTTGAGTTTAATATGACTGACCATCTTAACAGTTGTGAAACTTGAAATTCTACTGTTGTTTCAATTCCAAGTCAGTTTTTGAATATCACTTAGATCACCCCAAAAGATACATTTTTCATTTATGACTACCCTGGGTTAAGAACTAGATTTCTTCCATTTCTTCTCTGTAATATATAGCCTTTCTCTCTCTTTCCTAGTAGCACTTACCCTCTCTACCAGTGTGACAATCTAGAGCATGGTCTTTTGCTTTATAAATTCTGTCCCCAACTCCCACCCCAATAGCTAGCATAGGCAGGAAGAAAGGGAGGGAAGGAAGGAGGGAGGGGAGGGAAGAAAGAAGGAAAACGTGAGCCTCAGTAGACTACCGCCATGGTAGTCTGCAGCCATAATCACTCTTTATTATTCAGCACTAGATTTAGGAAGGCAAAAGGGCACATTTTTTAATGGAACAGTGGAGAATTTGAATAAATCTATCACATATACTCTTACTGCCTTTGTAAAATCTGACCTAATTCCTTTTAAGTAAAAGAGGTTTCATGAAAGGGAACTTACTACAAAATCTAATTATAGACAAACCTAGACCTTTGGATTGGTATTTAAAGTCAGTAATAGCAAATTCGTGTTTCTTTTTTTACTGACCATTCTTATTTCAATCAGGAAAATATCAAGTCTTTTTTCTCTTTCCTAGCAACTCTTTCTGTCATGGGTTTTTATATATCAAAATAATCTAAGTTGAAAGTATTTGAAATACAGTCATGTGCCACATGAGGATGTTTCTGTCAAAAACATATGACTGTGGTCCCCTAAGGGATTATCACCTAGCAGCGTCTTAGCTGTCTTACCTTTGTGTAAGTACAAGCTGACGTTTGCATGGGAAAATGATCTAATGACAAGTTTCTCAAAATGCATCCCTTTTTTAAGCGATCCATGACTCTATCTGCATGATTGAAACTGTTGCCATACTAAATCCAAAGCTCTTTATTTTATTCAACCTATATGTTACAAATGTTGCTCCCATCTCATTAAAACCTCCTATTGCAATCTTTCTGGAGTCCCCTGATCTTGATATTATTGTTGCCTTCTGTGCAAAAGAAAGCGTAGGCCAGTGCATTCTCCCCAAGGAAGGCTGTACTGATACTATACTTGCTGGTGTACCTCCTCCTGGAGGCTATCAGCAGTGTGCCTTGTTCTTCCTTAGGGAAACTCAGTGTTTAAAATTGCATTATTAATTTTTTTTTTTTTTTTTTTTTGGTTTTTCTCCGGTACCGGGAACTGAACTCACGACCTTGCGCTTGCCAGGCAGGCGCTTTTGCCGCTGAGCTAAATCCCCAGCCCCCGCATTATTAATTAATTGGAGTGTTTACAGTAGATAAATAACCTCATGACTAAATAATGTAAGCTTCAAAATCGTGAAGCTTATGCTGTGAACAAAATTAGGAAAACACATTATTCACCTTATCTGAGAATGAGATGTCTAGCCCTGTTAGCCACACACAGTCATTTTTTACTGAACAGAAGAATGTTTGGAAAATGGCATTTTGAAAAATGTTAGCACTTTAGTGTTGAGTTTGCTGAAACAGTATAATTTAACTGTTTGACAGAAGTTGCCTTGAGAGAGATTATTCATCTAATTTCATCTAAAGTTACTAGAATGATGGTGATGCCAGAAACAAATACCAACTGGGTGATAAGGAAGGCTGTCTTTCTAGACAGAGCCCCATAGGAGTGATAGCTGGCCACAAGGTGACTTCAAATGGTCTGAAGGAAGGAAGCATATGACTTGTGTAGGCTAGAGAATAGTCCTCTTATCATGTTTCCATTTATTTTGCCTTTATTAAAATATTTTTGTCCCACTTTAAAAACATACAAAGAGATCAGAGCATATACATGCCCCAAAACAGGGGTATTAGAAAATTCCAAAAAGAACAATGAGTATGATTAAAGCGATGCATGTTACTTAAACATGGGACATAGCTCAGTGGCAGAGCACTTGCCTAGCATGTGCAAGGCCCTGAGTTCAGCCCCCAGCACTGCAAAGAAAAAAAGAAGGGATTTTAAGCTTTAAGGAAAGAAGGCTGAGGAGTGACTTAACTGTTCCTTTCAACTACTCTTTCAACTAACTGTTCTTTTCCACTAACTACCCTTTTTAACTAACTATTCTTCACTTCTTGTTTGTTTGTTTGTTTTTTGTTTTTTTCTGGTACCGGGAACCGAACTCACGACCTTGCGCTTGCCAGGCAGGTGCTTTGCCGCTGAGCTAAATCCCCAGCCCCAGACTAACTATTCTTTTTAACTGTTTTTTTTAACCATTTTAAAACTAAATGTGACTATTACTCATGTTTT